CTTGGTCGAGTTTCCTATTGGGCATTAAACAGGGACAGAAAGTGCACAAAACCGGTGGGTTGGGTGGACGGCACCTGTTCCTCACTTGAACAACAGCCCTGTACATAATTAAAATAACATATTAATAAATAAAGTAGGATGACGTATGTGGCCTAAGTTGGCAACCGGGATTTGATAACATAAATTAAAAGTACATTATATGGGGAGTTCACTGGTATAATTCATTTGGCCAGGCGACCACTAGTTCGGCCGCAGTGGCCACTTTTATTAGGAAATATCAACCTATTCAATACTAACATATGATATATGAAATCAATATGGAATTTAACGTAGAATCAGAATATAGCAATATCAAACTACAGGAAGTAATAAATGTTTTGTAATTTGTGTAAAAATGTCAAGTTTATAAAATATTTAAAAAAAACTATATGTTTAATATGAATAATACTAATATATTCTGATTCTACGTTAAATTCTACATTGAATTCATATATCATATGTTTGTATTTAGTAAGTTGGTATTTCCGATAAAAGTGATCAAAATGTTTTGTAATTTGTGTAAAAATGTCAAGTTTATAAAATATTTAAAAAAAAACTATATGTTTAATATGAATAATACTAATATATTCTGATTCTACGTTAAATTCTACATTGAATTCATATATCATATGTTTGTATTTAGTAAGTTGGTATTTCCGATAAAAGTGATCACTACGGCTAAACCCGACGTCGGGACACCCTAAAGACTATATCAATATACTTTCTATTTGATGTATTTGATCAATAGTTTAATTTCATATTTAAAAAATCACATATAATTTGAAATTAATTTTTTAAGCCTATTAACATAGGGCTTTCGTCACTCTTCTTTAGACATAAGTTACTTGATGAATTATATTAAATTAAAAAACATATATTATTTTATACAGATCCATTTTAGCACCAAGATCCACGCCCAGCTTAATTTCATCCCTACCCAAACCACTCAACCCAACCGTAGTTGAGGGCAGAGTTTGCTGTTTGTCCTTTGACTTTGCACTTTGTTGTAACACTTTAATGGCATTGAATCTCAAAGTTCCACCCTGCACATCGCCCAAGTTATCATGTTCTACATCGAAGTCCACGTTCGTCAACGAGTACTTGTCTATCACTATCTGATGCGCGTTGGCTAATGAGTTGACGTCTTTGCACACATGAGCCAAATCGATACCATTATAACCGCCAAATGATACCGAGATATCACCCCCAGCGGCACGGATTGCCTGCACTTTCTTTAAAACAACTTGGTCGTCAGCGATCTAACATGATAAAAATATATCTTGGTTTAAAAAGTGTTTTAAAGCATACTACTGCATGTTGTATGTTGTGCTAGTAAATGTTTATGTTTTATTCGTTTACTTTTTTTACAAGTTTACCACCATTGAGTTAGCACAATAAAAGCTATTAAAAAACCTGTCAAAAATTATAACATATTGTTAAATTATTTCAAATTGTTTGTTATATAAGATATATACGGAATGTTGTGATACGGCCAAATATAATTAATTGAAATACTAATATTTTATCATTAGCTATACTAATAAATTTGTGACAGTTTTTAACACTTAAATGTATTTACAAGACAAGTTAAAAATATAACTCTTAATTAACCATGTACCTTTTGATTGATCTTCCCGTCCCACGTGGGTATACACTGGCCGTCATCGCTGGCCAAAGCAAAGGCCAAAATGAATTGCTTGACTCCCGAGGCCTCAATCACTTTTGCCATATCAAAGTCCTGGCCGTTGTTATCGAGTGGCATATAATAGGGCGCCGCACGTATGCCCGCCCCTATGGCCACCGATATCATCGACACCACCACTAGTGCTACTTTCAGAGCAAACATGTTTCAGACAAACCTATTCAAAGAGACAATTGATTTAATAGTAATAAACACGGCTTATATATACGGTTAACTGTCACATCAGTGCTTCGGTGTCTGTGCCTGTGCTATGCTATGGGAACGGAGGCACATATTATTCATATCCTATTTGTTATCTATGGTATGGTTTCATAACATAAGGAAATGTACAAAATGTACACTATATTTGGGCGCAAACAATATTGCAATACAAATAGTGGATATTGTTTATGGTATTAATTTAGCAATAAATTGAGTTTAACATAATTTGCTCATGATAACAAATTAAACAATACATGACAAATAAAAAAATTCTTATGAAATGCTCACCTCTTGTTATTACCAAAGGGTTAATTGACACAAACAATACTAGCCGTGAAGTCTTAAAGACTTTAGTATTTATACCATTTTTTACTTTATAATTTATAATTAACAAGTGTTTGTGTCAAGCTCATTATTAATTGTTTTAGATTTTTTTTTTTTGTAAATCTACGTTCATTTGATCTAACCTGAGCCTAGGATAATTTTTAATTAATCTTGTAACACATTTATGTACCAATGTCAATGCAATTATGTAACTGAATGCAGCATAACCTATTATGCAATTTTAAAAATTAATTAACTAGGCTAGTTTGTATTTTAAATTGTATTGTTTTAGTGACGTTAATTTGATCGATAATTTCTATTATTTCACCCCTAAATACAGACCCTAATAATGGGATACAATGTCTATGGTTTCAGTAATGGTTTAGTTCAGTTATGCAATTTAATGTGAGTTTAACACGAGGTAAATATGCCCAAACAGTGCCTAACTATTGTCATGATAAAAACAAGTGTTGTTTTTCATATGTGCTTGAATTTCTAGGAAAGTCTAGCTATCAATATTGTTTTAAGACAGACCCATAAATCAAAGTATAGTATTATGAAATTTATTTTAAATGTGCTTTGCTTTAATCAAATGGTTTGCCCATGAAAATAGTTTTCAAATTTTAAGTATAAATATTGCACTAACAGTATATTAAATATGATTTTATTCAAATTTTGTATTTGCTAATGTACAGTATGTGCAAGCATTCTGTACATTTATGGTAATTTTCTAATTAAAAATTTAGGTATGGATTTTAATAATAGTTAAAACAATATAAATTGTCTTACAACACTTTATCATATCAGTTTTACGGTAATAAATAATATTTAATAGTGATTTGCGTATAAAATAATTATGCGTTATTTAAAATATTGGTAAATTTATAATAAGTTATAATTTATACATTATAAAATAATTTTCTTAGCGTATGAGAATAGCTTTATTTTAAAAACTGCAATATTTTCCAATAATTGCTATTTGATTTAATTTCACTTAAACGTGTTAAATGATTTGGGCACGATTACCCTTACCGTTGTTTTTTTTGCAAAACAATATAATTACCGGGCCCGGGCCCTTTAGTCGTTGCTATAATTTACTAATCATATAATACTAGTTAAATAAGTATGGTAATATACAGTTTTATTAAGCATATTATTAATGAAAAATAAATTTTTGACAATTATTAGTAGTTTATTTTCCAACACATGTTGTTTTATAAATATAGCATTTATTTAATGTTAGACAAAATAGCTGTGCTTTTATATCATAATTCAACATTTAATAAATACCATTACAGTGACACCATGGTGATTATCATTATTGGGAAATACTGTATTTAGAAATTAGATTGATAGAAAATATTTAGCAACAAAAAATGATTAGGTTTTGGTTTTAAAATGTCATTTTAATATCTGTTTTTTAATTTGTAATTTATAATTGATAATCAATAATGTAATTATAAATTAAAAATTATTTAAAATAATTTGTTAAAATATATCTTTTAATTTGTACATTATACATTTTAATTAAAAACATTAAATATGAAATTAATAAAACGCATTATACATTTCATAATTATTAAAACATTTAGCATTTAAAACAATGTTCAATATCTTAGTAGACAAGAAAATTGTGATTAAATACTTACATATCATTTGCTATTAAAATCTCTTATCAAACAAAACAAATAAAACACATATTTTAGTTTCAATCATAGGCTCACTATTTCTTAACGGAATTGAAAACATTTTCATTATAATTGTTATACATTTAATTAAAATTAAATGTCTCATTATTACAATTATAAATAGTCAAGTCTTATATAAAAAACAATAACAAATTTACCATAATTAAATAATAACATAGTTAATCATGAATATCATAGCATATATTTGTATTGTGTTAAATGTGTTGGCAATATATGGGTGCGTCAATGCAGTGGACTATTCCCATACCAAAGTCGTGGCGTGCGATACGTTGATTGCCGAGGATGTGGTCCAGTGTTTAAGGGACAATCTGCCCCAAGACCTAGATGCTTCAAAAGTGATCGAGTATGGCTGCTGTATGATGTATCATAATCACCAGTGTACTGTCAAATCTGCCAAGGTAATTTTATTTAGGCCTAATTGTTTGTTAAATCACTTTTAGTTATTAATAACTATATATTTTTGTTGTTTTTTGTGTATAAGTGGTTTTAGCTAGTATTATTTTAGCTAATAATTTATGTGTGATATTAACTAGTAGTTATTAACTATATTAATTTGATGATTGACCAGGTTAAATGTAGTCGTGAAGATTATTTGCTGAAGAAGAGCCAAGAAAACGAGAAACGAGATAATAGTTTTGAAGAGTGCAGAGAACACCAACAATGTAACAACGGATCCCCGATTTTGTTTAGCAGTCTGTACTTAATTATCATGATTGTATTTTTACATTTAATTAATTAATGAGCATTTTAATCAAATCATTTTGTATTTTATTAAATTTTATAATAAATGTTTACTCAATATGATAAATTTTTTGATCATCATAAATAGCGTTGCTCACCGCACCGACCATAGCGTTAGATGTCACTGTATATACCTTTATTCCTATATTAATATCACATAGAAGGTAGAGCTTTAGGGTTCGTGGTTGGCACTTGAGCATCGCTAATCATAAACTTTATTAATTTACGTGCATTATATTAATTAAGTTATCACTTATTATCTTAAGTGGGCGAACAATGGAAGTCTATTATATGGGATTTTATTATAATAAGGTGCTTTTCATACCTTAAATAACAATGAATACCATATAGTAATTAATATAATAAATATAAAAATAAATGTTGATAACAATTTATTTTTATTTTAACAGATATTTATAATGTAGTAGATTGATATAATAATTATTATGTGCACTATTCAGTGCTGCTACCAAGTGGCAATAAATACAACAACCAAATAATACGATATAATTCATAGAATATTCTGTTAAAGTTTTTCACTTGCATGTTGCTTAAAGTTTTGCTATATGAAGTATTTCAAATTAAATTCTCTAGCTACTTATTATACATATTTCACAAATAAATAATTGCTAAAATATAATATCTAACATCAAAAACAATTACAACTGTTTGTATGAAAGAGATATGTGACTAAACCGTCTCTTATCACTTACAACTTACTATTAAAATACAAAACAACTTCTCAAACAAATATATTATTTTATCTATTTTATGACGACAATAGAAAATAATAGATGATTGTTATTAAGCATCATATTATTTCACAATACATTTTATTATAAATAAACATAAATAAAATATAAAATATGCATTTTTATTTAAATACAATACTTTAATTGACACAACAATTATAAAACTATTGCTACAGTTTTTGACCAAATTGTTGATTAAATACAATGAATAATATATTAAACATGTGTATTATGTTATACGTGGTAACATTATATGTTTGTGGGGTCAAGACCTATGTATACAGACAATGGATTTCTGACGACTATTACAAATGCGAAGAGATGATCGCCGACGATGTGGTCAATTGCTTGACGGTTGGACTGTCCGTGAAAAAAGATCTGGATCAATCAAAACTCGTTGAGTATGGATGCTGTACGATGTATATTAATTATTACTGTACAATCAAAGCAGCTAAAGTATGAGTTCACATAAATTTTAAATTATTTACATTGTTTCATTTAATAATTTATATTACGGTAGATATTGTGATAATAATTTTGATGTTTAATGATCAATAATTAATGTTTGTCCATTTTTATAAAATGATTAGAATAAGTGCGATTACTCACACTACAATGTAATAAAAGCTATTGAAAATAATAAATTGGCCAAGGATAAAAAGAAATGTGAAAAATATCAACAATGTAATACCGGAACAGCTGCTTTGTTTACCAATCTGTTTTTGATGCTCATGGTTTTTATTCCACATTTATATAACCACATATAACTGTACACTAAACATAACAAAGTATCATAATTTTACATTTTAAATAAGTTCTATAATAAATTTTTACTTAATATTCTATTATTTGTTATAACAATTCATATTTTTATATTAATAAACTTAACTTAGTTAGTTAGTTGTTCAATGCATAAAATTATTATATATTGTTTATAACTTAATAAAGTATTTGTCAACACGTTTAACATCAAAAACAATTACAATGTACAATGTATGTTATTATGTAAATAATAATTTTATATTTTTAATATTGAGGTAAAAATATTATACAAATATTGTATATTCCGCCAGCGCGATTTATCCCAAAATAGTTTATTTATATTTACATAGTCATATTACTATCCTATATATTAATTTAATTATGTCTGTAAACAGTTTTGTTAATAATTGTATTTAATCAAAATTATTATTATTTATTTATTCAAAATGTAATTTAATCTCTGAATAAATCATTATTAAAGTAAAAGAAATGATATAATTTCAAATTAGACAATTAAGTTCGTATGAATTGACCGTAATATTAATCTAATAATAAACATTTACATTAAATTACATAATATAAGAAACGGTAAATTATATAGTTTGTATCATTTATCAATAGCTAGATATTTTACTTTTTAGATATTTGGCGAAAGAACTAATTTTCACAAAATATACATGTACATTATCTGTAATTAAAACTTTATGTATTTATAAATAATTTTTTAAAAACATTTTTAACCACTATTCTGATATAAATGATGTGGTTTATAGGATCGTTCGGCCCCCCCGGGATTATAAATGAATTTGCCATAATACATAGAACTAATTGTTGTCAAAAACATTTAAAATTCTCAAAATAATAGTATTGAAAAATTTAAAATCTTCGATGCATTTCCCGAATAGTGGTTAACGAAGAGAGAGAGAGAGAGAGAGAGAGAGATCCGAAGACTTCTAAAAATCTATAAATAAAGTCGATATGTAAAGAATATACTTTATTAAACAAATAATTAAGTAATTGTTTCAACTGTAAACTTGCAATAATATTGTTTTATATAATATTATTTTTATTTTTATTAGTTATTTATGGTTGCGGATTAAACTTCTAATTTTTTGTAAAAATTTAATTTAATATGGTATAAAGAGTATCCAATGTCATTTAATTAAAATTGATAAAAATAAATAATAACTTGATAACTATCTTATTATCTAATTAACAGCTCATATACATAGTGCGTAACCCAAAGGACGTGTGCGTCTCGTACTATGACTATCACAAAATGCTAAACATATCAGACATCGATTGGCCTGACTTTCAGCGCCTGTTTCTCTCCGGCCATGTATTGAACGGCCATTGGTTTCAACACTTAAGCGACTATTGGCTCAGTTATGGCACAAAATACCCGAACGTATTGTTCGTG